CATTCCTTTGATATATTTACTCCTATTTATTATATGTGGATTTTGTATTTTTCCTCTCAAAGAACGATCATAAATCTTACACGTTCAAATTCTGTGGTGGGAGCAGTAGGAGTTTGAAGTAGGGGAGGATGATGTCATTAGCCAGAGTCTCCAATGATAACATCATCAAACTAATGTAGACACTGGGAATTCTAAGGACAGTGTACCTGAATATTTTGTAAGTTTATTTGAGGGCGTCCTGTGGAATTCTTGAAGGCTTGAAGGACAGTGAGAAAATTCTTATCAGAAGCTGAGGAAAAAGGGATCCTTGTCATGTAGAGGAGGGAAGTTTACACTGTTGCCTGCTGGATTGTGGAAAATAGAAAATATCGCTAACAAACTGATGCATTTGGTTAAGGAAATGTCCAGGCAGAATGTTGACAGTATCAGCTGCTTAAAAAAAAAAAAAAAGGATGTGCAATAAGACATAGAGATGAGACAAAAGAACTATTTAATTTTTAAGCAGAATTTAGGAGAAATATACAGAACTTAGAATCTTTGGGTTCAAAAATAAAGCTGCTTTTCATTCCCAGCCTCTTCAGATGGTAAGAAATTTTGAAAGTAAGGCATTGCTTTAAGGCCAAGGTGAAATCTAGGATACAGCTGTAAGACTCTTTTTTAAGATTGTAGAAATATTTAAGACTGTTCTCCCCAGACCCTCTCAGCCTGATAAAGGGGCTTCTAAATATTTTAAGTGTATTTTCCAACAGGTTCCTGACTTTCAGCTCGAGATGGAAGGTGTCTGCCTGAAAGACATGTGTATGGCTTTTTATAAATGGGGTGCTTATAATTTGATATATAAGATTCCCCCCAAATTTTAAAGAGAATTATATTGTCAGCAGCACTACCTGCTTGGACTGAAAGAATATATGTATCTCTCTATGCAAAGGCTTTCAATGTTTATATGGCAAATATTTATATTTACATCTTAGAAACAGAATATAGTATTTTAAATAAAATAATGTGAAGAACACAAGTCATGTTGCAACCAAAACTGGTAGAAAATCAGAATCATGGGTAGCTATTTTGAAAAGCTTGCCTTGTATCAACTAAGGGGATGTGTATCTGATGCTCCTGGAATTAAGTGTCCTACTTAGTTTGAGCCATGCTTTGTCATTGTGCTTATGCTTGATATGCATTTCTACAATGACTGCATGTAAAGCTGAACAATTTAGTGTTGCTAAATCCTCAGCACGGGCTCTTAGGAGTCCTTCCATTTTTTCCCATTGACATCTTCAAAGCCAGAATCTTGCGAGAGCAACAATTTACAGCTTGGCACGTCTTCAAAGCCTATGAATTCAGCCACAAATTGCCAGATTAGTTTCCTTCATTCACTGTGTATCTTCACTGAAGAAACTCTTTGTTGCACCTTGTAGATGAACCCTAAAGCCTTTTTTTATGGAAAAGCAACAATAAAGGCCATAGAGAGTATCCAGTCAAGCTACTGGTCACAGGCGGCTTAAAAGAATAAATGGCCCATGCAGATACAGTGTGTAACGTTACCCTTAAACTTGATGGAAGCGTGATGGGAACTCTTTCTTTTAAACAATAGCCTGATATATAAAGGAACTTACAAATGTAAACTACTGGTTTACTGCAAACTGCTCCATTTTGCAATTTTTAGTTTTTCAGTCCTAAAGCACAAAGCATCCTCCCTGAGAATTTACCAATGCCTTCTTGTTCTGAAGTCTCTACAGCAGCACCAGGAAAGAGAGAATGAACACCTGTTCCATTCCTTTGAATCTGAGACTTTGCCTGAAATTTCCCCTTTGCTATCCAACTCATAAGTACTGTCATCTTTGGCACCTGTGGCAACAATAAGTATGTTCTTCCCTTCTCAAATATCTTTAAGCTTTAAGTCTCCATTTAATTCAAAGAAATGGCCTGTCTTTAATTGTAATTTTAGAATTTCCTCAGTTATTGGTATGTATTTGCTGTGCCGCATGAAACATTGTTTATCATTATGCATGCAAACTAAAAGGAGCTATTACATTCAACAGCAATGGAGAGCAACTAAATTAATTGTTTGGTGATTACGATGCTATTCTTCAAGTATTGTACATTCTAACATAACAGTTTGTTACGTGTATGTGGCATTTTACTTTATTTTAAATACACGATAGGAATTTGGGTGTTGATGTGTAACATCAATTTTTTTCCCATTTAAAAATTGGCCCCCATTTGGCATCTTCTTGCGGACCATCAGATTGTAAGGGATGGGTTATTGAAATTAAGTAGAACAAGCCTACATTGCTAGGTTTGTAATTCCTGTGGGCAAGTTATGTTGTCTCTTATTTTCTCATATTTTCAATTGATTTATAAAAATTGCAATTATCTGTTCCTAGCCTACCATTGTATATTGGGTGTGTTAGGCGGGGAGCTAACTTGAACATGAGAGCTGTATTTAATGCTGAGGAAGATGCTGGAATTTGAGCAGGATGGGGTAACTGCATGGGATTTTAGGTTGTCCCCCTTGGGAAAAGGAGGGTATGTGTATCTGTGGGGAGAAGGATATGCTCAGATATTTGGGTAGCCAGAGACATAGAACTATGGCAGACACTACTGGTTGCCCCCAGTATGTTCTTTTTATTTTGCTCAGTAATAAAACCCCAAAAGTTAGCTGGGCATTTGTCCAACCAATAAAAAAAGGTTACATTTTCCAGCCTCTTCTGCAACTCAGTGTGGTCATGTAACTAAGCTTGGGCCAATGAGATGTAAGGAGACGTAGTCTACATAGATCTTCTGGAAAGTTTTCTTAAAGAGAGGAAATATGTCCTCTCTGCCTCTTTTGCTGGTTTTCCCAGCTAGCATGTGGATGTCATGGCTCAAGATGAAGCAGCCAGCTTATAAGTCAGGGTGGAAATCACAGGTGATAGTTGGCAGAGCAACATGTCAGAAGGAGCTTGGGATCCCTGATGGTTATGGAGCCACTATCTTAGCCTATGACTGCTTACCTGAGAGAGAGAAAAACGTTTATCTCTTTATCACTTTTATTTTGGGCTTTTCATCTAATGAGTACTCCTCTTTTTTTTCCTTCAAACAACTATCTTATCTTATTTAGTTTATACTATCGTATATTATTACACCTATATTATCTTGTTCAATTTTTATTGTTTATTTTCTGTCTTCTCTCCCTAGAATGCTAATTTCAAGAGATTCAATTAGCTTATCCTTTGTAGTATTGTAAGTTATTCACATCAACAATCACATTCACTGTAGTGCTTGCTGCAAGGGAGTCATATAACCAGTTGTTTCAGATAAAATATGATGAGAAGTCATTCCTTCGTTCCACATGGAAGTAACAGTATTAAACAGTGTAATGGCAATCACTGAAAGGCTGCTTAAAGTAATATTTCCTTCATTCATTGTTTTGGAAGGGTCCATCAGGAAGGGGGAAAAACAAGACAAAACCTAATATTATTCTAATTGACTGAGCTGAAGAAGTGAAAGCTCCTTAACATCCAGATGGCATCTGACTATTATTTTATAAGGGTTTTCCTTCAAGTTAGACTACTACGTAGCCTCCCCATTTCTCTCCAAGTGACAAGCCTCCTTAATATCACCCAAGCCATTTAATTGCCACTCATGTTTAACACCTGTAATTTTTTTTAATGGCATCTTCAGAGCTAGCATAAATCACCATGCTTTTTAAAGGTATACTTTCAGGAGCCCAGGATACAAATACTAGGTCTTCTTTCTTAGACTCTTTTGTTTTGCATGGTGCCTCCTGCAAAGCAAATTGTTAGGCATTCAGAGGCAGTGACTTCACAAAAGATGTATAGGGGTCCTCTGAAGTGTCACCCACCAAGATCCGTTTTGCTTCCTCTACAATTATTTGTCACATTGCTTAAACAGAAGAGAACTGCTTTCTTTCTTTCTTTCTTTTAAAAATCTTCTTTTATGTAGATTTCCTTACTTTCATATCATTAAAAACTTTGGTGACTTCATCACTCACGGTAACTCCAGAAGCCACAGTATAGTGCTTGTGGCTGCAGTGACAGCTCAGGCTCCAATCTGTGGCACTGAGGGGTGTGCGGAAACCATGTGTCTTTTGTTCACATCTGAATCCATAGAGCTTACAACAGAGCCTGGAAAATAGCAGGTGTTCAGTAAATATTTGTAGAATGATAAACGAAGACTATACTAGAATGGAGCTACACTAAAGCTAGTAAGCTCCTGCTTTAAGAAACTGTAGAACTAAGAAATCCAAGGAACCTGGAAAGTTAGTTGTGATAGGTGAGAGGAAACTGACATTTAGAGTGGTTATATGATTCATAGGCCACGCTGTCCCTTGTCAAATATGGGTTCTGTGGCCCCTGCTGCCTCTACTGTGTGTATTATTTGGCTGATGAGCACTTGCCATGGATGTTGTAGATAGCTGCTCAGGGTCCCAGGGTTTGTACAGGACGACCTACTACCCTTTCCCCACAGAGAGTGTATGCACAGAGCTAACAGAATTTTCAAGTCTTCTTAGGCACCACACAGCTTCGAAAGCCCAGCAACTGGGAACAGTGCGGTTGCAACCAGCAGGCACTTTTAGCTATTTATTACCTGGCACTCTAGGGACGGGGATCTGGCAGTGCTGAGGATAGCTGTCCAGGCTCTCCTCTGGCTACGATCTTCCCTCACCAGCTCCCAAGAAAGACATTGAATCCCTTTCTTCCACTGACCTCAGTTTTACTTGGCCGGGTTTGGAGAGGACAGACTAGAGAACAAAGTGACCCAAGTCACCTGTCACTGCCCACCCATCGCAGCGCTCGCGCTCCAGCGCGGGGCGGGGCGTACGGAGTGCGGAGGCAGGCGCGTCCCTGAGTTGCGCTCTCACGCCTTCCGCTCCGCTCCGCGCGCGGCGCCGGGATCGCAGGGGGCGGGGGCGCGCTCCCGCCGGACGCCCGCTTGAGGGAGCGCGCATGCTCCGCCTCTCCCCGCCCCTTGGTGCGCGCCCCGCCCCCTCGGGCTATGATACGCCGAGCGCTCAACATCCGAGGACTTCGGCCCAGAGTAACCCCGCTCGCGTGACCTTTAGCCTCCATTCCTCCTCCTCCCGCGGCCTGCCCCGCGAGTCCAAGGTGGTTGGACGCTCGCTCCGGTCCCTCCTTCCCACCTCCTTCCCAGGCTTCGGCTCACCCCCCTCGCGTCCCCTCCGCGCGACTCCTCGTCATGGCGGCTCTCAGCAAGTCCATCCCTCATAACTGCTACGAGATCGGCCACACTTGGCACCCTTCCTGCGGGGTCTCCTTCGTGCAGATCACCGGGGGCGCCCTGGAGGAGTCCCTGAAGATCTATGCCCCTCTGTACTTGGTGAGACCTGGCAGGGGCGAGTTTAGTGTGGAGGATGGGCCGGGGGGTGCAGTCTTGCTCCCGAGAGGCCTGGGGGACTCGCCTAGTGTCTGTTTCTCATTTGCAGGGGTCAGAATGCCTGTTGTTGGGAAGAGGATGGGCTTCCAACTTCGGGATTAAGTTTAGGACACTTCAAATTGTGACTACAAGGGATCTGCGTTATTTTCCCCTTTCCTGCCTTGAGATGGAGAGGTCAGCGAGGCGATGAGAAATGGCCTGTAATCTTGCCTCATATAAATCCTTCTGTCTCCCCACACCGATTTTTTTTTTGGGGGGGCATATTTGACAGCAAATCCCTGTGGCCTCAAATCTTGTCTCGTTTTGGAAACACAGGATTGTGGCTTAAGGGTTTCGCAAGTTTTTTGCAAGTTCGCAAAGTAGACACCTGGTTGGGATTTTGCGTCGTAATTCAAAGGGTGGTTCCAGTCGCAGAGTCAGTGAAGGTGATTAGAAGATCTGACTTTATGTCATCGACCTTTATTACACAACTTTACATATATGGCAATCTAAGTTTGGAGTTTTTAATAGAGGATATTTGGAAATATGTGTTTATATTACTGAGAACTGTTAAGATAGTTTATTAAATGCTCTCACCAGCATCCTTTTTTTTTTTTTTCCCCAGTAACCTTGTCCTTGTTACTAAAGATTTATTACTTTGGTTACTGAAGTTCAGTCTCTCATTTTCTTGTGCAGTAGAAATCTGTGTTGGTCTCCTAAGAAGGCAGAGATAATATTTTTTTGTATGGTTCCTAAAAGTTTCATTCACTATTCATTGGATGGTCATTTCTTACTTCTTATTGAGTAATAATTTGGATTTATATCCTACTATGCCTATGGAAGTGCGTCATAGCCCTATCTGTAGTACATCTTGAAAAGTTTGATTATTTATTACAGGGATAACACAGGAGAAGATGGTAACTTTCTCTGAGCTTGCAGAAGCCAGTTTTATTTTTATCATATGGACTGATGCGTTTAAAACTTTAATGTATGTTAGGAATCCTCTGGGGGATCATGCTAAAATGAGGGCTCTGATTTAGTAGGTCTGGTTGGGGCCTGAGATCCTGTATTTCTATCAAACTCCCAGGTAATATTGATGCTGCTGGACTAAGAGCCACACTTTGAATAGTAGGATTGAGAGTGAAGGCCAATAATAAACTTA